GAGATTTGGGAGAAGAAAGAAAGACTGGAGAAGCTCATTAGGATTGGATTACGCTGGATTCTCCTTTTAAAGATCATTTCCTTCTGTGTGAGTTTGAAGAACAGGTATCTTATGCTGACAATTTGGATAATTATTGAGAAACTGCTCTAATATATAATGATCACCAATAGGATAATTTCTCTTAGACTGAGTGTGTGAGAACGGCTTAGCTAACATTTTTTTCTTAATTAATTTTCAGTGTTTCTCGGTTGCTTTACTTAAAGGCAATAAAGGATGAGAGCCAGCGTGGAGAAATACCGTCTAGAATGCATCATTTAAGTTAAATACTGAGGAAAATAGACTTTGGGGGAACTTAGAGTGTAGGGATTGGGTATTGTCATACCCAGTGTGAAAGAAGTATACTTTTATTGATAGGTTTTAAGTTTTGGATTCTATTATTTGGCTTTTGGGGCCAGTCACATGGGAGTATTATAAGGAGATGGTATATTTATATAATGACATTCTACCCGTTACTGAAAAATAATGAACTAGTAAAACACTATACAAGGTGGAGGACTCTGAGGTGGATAGACCAGGATATTATTTTGGAACAAATAAAGGAAAGAATTGTTTAAAGGGAATGTGTATTTAAGCACTACATGTAGGATAACAGCTGAGAATAACAGGGATATAAAGGTGATGTGGGTGTGGGTAGCTTGTTATACAGGGTTGTTGGGGTTATTTTAATGTCTGTAATTGTTAATTTGGCAGAGGGAAAAAAGGTAACTCAAAAATTTAAGACAAAATGACTCATCCTAGTGTCCAGAAGAAAGGAAATTCTTTTTATTAGCAGTGTCTATGCGTACTCAAGGTTTTTCTTTTCTTTTTTTTTTTTAATTGTTATTAAATTTTATTAGTTTTAGTGAATATTTACAGATTTTGGGTTTTCATTCTTGCACTGTTTTCTCTACCCTCCTCCCCAGTTTGTTCTTCTTCCCCACCCCCCCAAATGTCTGTTTTAATTGTCCAATTGCCA